CTTCAAAATTTCATCGATCATTCTTGTAATCATCACATCAAGCTTGATTTGAACTTTTTTATCGTAACCGAAAAAGGTTCCCCACATAGCCTGTAAATCAGTGCTTGTCTGTATCTCTTTGTTGATGAACTCAAGTTTTCTGTCGTTGTTAATGGATGGAGAGCAGTACTCAATCTTCAAAAAAATTTGATTGTCGCCAAATGGTAAAAGTCCCCGTATTGTGTAATGAAAATCTTCAAGTGATTCGTACATGTTGGTCTTGAATTCCCTTAATGGTAGATCCCTAGTAACGAAGTGAACCTTTCCAACATATGTCAAACGATATTCATTTTTTGTTTTAGTGTTTAGACATAAGATACCATGAGAGAGAGAGAGAGAGAGATAAGTTTCTTATATAGTAGTTTGAGGATGTTATGGACCACACATATCATATCTGCTGACAGAATGAAAATCAGAAATGTATTTTCAGTTACACCTTAACTTAAAAACCGGAAGTACATTGTCAGTAAAGTCTCTGGTACTAAAAACCAAAAACGGAACAATAACAGAAAGAGCAGATTGCATAAAAATATAATAATAGATTTCATAACTACCAAAATAAAAATATTCCACATCATAGTTCATTAACAAAAAAACATATACATCAAAGTCATATTTAACTACTTAAAAGATCTGAAGTAATTGTCTCCCGAAAAATTCACATGTGGTACACCCTTTTACTTTTCCTTGTTTTTTACAATTTCAATGTTCTTCAAAGTGGTGTACTCTTGCATCCTTTCAATAAACCGGCCAAGTCTCAGATTGGTCGGTATAATGATTCGCCCACTCTGGTGATGTAGATGGTATATGGCATCTCAGTTTCAAATACACTTGAACAAAATGTCAGCGATTTAAAACTCACCCAACACAAATGATACGATTAGTGGAATTAGATGTTAAAGCAGTACGCAATGGGGGAAAAGTTTCCGAGAAACCGTATCTTGTAAGATTAATACACACCCTCTCACACGCACTTGCAATGAGATAACCCATCTTAGGGAAATACATCCATTTGTTCTCCGGTGTAAATGCTGCCATGGAAGGTACAAGAGCGTTATAGAATTCTTCAAACTTATTCTTATCCCCGTACACCCATGTTTAAAAATCTATATGACTCCTTAACTCTTGGATAAGAATTTGTCGGACAAGTGTGTGATCCTCTCCCCTTTTACCGAGTAAAGCAGAAATAGCCCGAAAACCATAATTACCGTCACCATCAATATTGACGATCTGATCAATGTGATTGTGCATAAAAACTGATATCTCCTAAATGAACGGTATTTTTGGTGGAGGCGATGGATTTGTTGGAGTTTGAGGTTTGCTTATGTGAGCACCTTTGAAGACCTTTTTCTGAGATTTCTGTGTCGTTGAATGGCGAAAAAGTTTGTCAACATGTTTAAAATACGATGGACTCCTCATAGTAGAATTTTCACTTGGTGTAGGTTTGACATTTTTTGGTGCTCCTTTTGTTTTAACCGGTTGAGACGGTGGTTTCAAGTCGGTTGTCTTTGAAAATTCAATTTTCCTCAATTGCTCTTTGATGTGGAGTTTTGTGTTGTCATCACCTTTCCGAAATCTTTCTTGTATCGCTTCACATTCTGTCAAGATTGTGATACTTGACTTTCCCTCTTTCATTATACTATCGTCTTCAAAATACAACCTCTTCCAATGACTACATACCTTGTCCATTCGTATCGGGCTATCAATTTTCACCTTCTTAGATATGATACAAGAACATGGGAGACCATATGTTTTCACAATTATGAAGCCACACTTAGAGGTCTCGGAGCCTAAGTCAGAGGCTCGTTTGGCTTCATAAAAAATGAAATTAAGAGATGATCGTGATATGTTGCCAAATGCCAACCAACTGAGAATACAGAAAGTTTTCAACCTGTAGACAAATCACCCTTTCTATTTCCCAACCAACTTCAAACATGCATGAGCCGACTCAACTCGGTTTGTTGTTGTATTTCCAAGATTCATAACCTGATATGTCCATGCACAAACAATCTTCTCCTTCACCTGATCCAAAATTGTAGTCTCAACGTATTTCAACAAATTGGGATATTTATCGCAGACCTTCCTGAAATGTATAACAGCTTCAGCATATAAATATTTGATAGATGCATTTATGATAAAATTCCAAGCAGCCATAATTTTCTCCACAACAACGCCCGACTTAACTAGTTTATCCTCTTCAATCTCAATCTGACTCGTCCCTACCGCTGGTTCTACCTGGCTTCTCATATTTTTAGTAATGTGATACTTACAAAGTAATGCAGAAGAACTCGGAAACACCTTCCCAACAAAATTCATCAGTGTTGTATCGCGGTCGGTAATAATGACTTTTGGCATGTTTTCTTAGTCCTTTAACATTGACCGACAAACCTCTAAAGCCCATGAAAAATTATTCTCTTTTTCGCACTTTAGAAATACAAAACCAATGGAAGATGTCATTTTAGTCGACGTAACACCGACAATTTCAAACAATGGCAACCTGTACATGTACCTGTTGATCTTGTACGTCGAATCAATTATAAGCACGGTAGGAAATGTATTGAACAATTTAATGGAATCAATATGAGTTCAATATATATCTCTTACAGTTACTCCATCCTCACATCTCTGGTGTCTACAAACGTAGTAGTTATCGTCTAAAAGCTTCAAGAGTTGTTGCATTTCATTTCGATCCCCTCTAAGTGCCAATTTTGTTTGATAGCGTTGATTGTAAACTTGCCTGATGTTTGAAATATTCTCGGGTCTTTTGCGCTTCAACGTTACAAGTATATTTTTTGGAGCGACCAAATTTAGTGTTATGTTGGACACACGTTCCTTCTTTTCCGCCAAGAGGCGACATGCACTTGGATGACAGACTAACTTTGCACTTAAATCATGATTATGTAAACCGCTTATGACATTTAACCTTCAATTATTATTTTCCAACTGATACCCACGTAGCCTAAATGGACACTGACTATTTCTTAAACCAGTATCATCTCTTTTGAAATTCTTGATATGTCGCCTATATATCTCATTTCTTTCGCATGTCAATGTCACAAATGCATGTCGTCTATCTGAACCACTATCGGACCTTCCTATCACAACACCAAAGCCTTGTTTGGTGGCCTTCGTACGAATCAACTACATCATGACATATTGAGATTCATATTCTTGTTCATTTGTAAAATGCTTCGGCACATTGATCGTCTTGATAACAATAGGAGAAACAACAATAGGAGAAACACCTTGAGGCACAATAGGAAACACCTTGGGAAAGAATATGTGAGACACCTTGAGACACATTAGGCGAAACACCTTGAGACACAATAGTTTTATGACAATTATCGGGATGCACCATACCTAATATGTAAAAACATATTAAACTAAGAAATATCCTAGGCAAATAAGAAAATGAAGTTGCTGGAAATAGTTGTTACAGGAACCGGAAGTACATTTCCGGTTAAGTTCATCTACAAAATGAACAGATTAATACTTTCGGTATTAACGTGGCATTTTTTTCCACAAAATGAACAGATTAATGTAGATTAAAAAGAGTAAGTTTTACCTTAAATCCAGTTTCCTTTAGCTCCTTTTGATATAATGCACCACCAGAATGTTGATTTTGAGTTAAAAATGGTATTGAGAATGTGAGGATTTTTTGGAGAGTATTTTCGTCATCTTTTGAAATAAGCACGATCAATACCCCATGGACCTTGCTGTTTTAAGCTTTTGGTTTCGCATAATAAATCGGAAATGTATATCCGATTTATAGGTGGCATTTTTTTTTGGTTTTTCCCGAACAAATTTCCCGGATATGTATCTCCGGTTTCTTCCGGAAATACATTTTCGATATGTTTCTTACATTAAACAAGGGTCTAACAAAATTTTGTCTGGCTTAATAAGTGTAGGGTGCGTTTCGGAAATGTATTTCTGAGAGACATTTTTGGTTTTACATAGGGTATTTTCCTCTATATAGGGTACCATAAGAAATTCTCGCCATTTTTTACGAGACGAATTAAGATTTTTTATTTGCCTTCTATATTGTGTCTGTCTCATTCTACTTTAAGGAACTTGCTTTTCTGCAACCACATAGCTTAAACGAGATTGACATGATTTTTGTTATTTTTAAGTTTTATGAGTGATAGAGTCCGTGTTGTCTTTTAATGGGTCGAACCAATGTATTTGGCATGTTCTACTACTTTGTCCGCTTTGTCTCACTTTATTATTTTATAGATTTTGACGGAACGAGCCTAAATAAAATAAATTTTTTTGTTTGTCACTCTTATATGATCAATAAATATTTTCTTTATCTTAAATCTCTTCAACTCAACATCGAGAAAAATAGATCTAGTCAATAACTCAAAATGAGTATTTTCGTTTATCACTCTTATATGATCAATAAATATTTTCTCTATTTTAAATCTCTTCAACTCAACACCGAGAAAAATAAATCTAGTCAGTAACTCTTTCGTCATATTAATTTTGTCACCTGAGCCAAAATATTTTTTTAATTAGGATAACATATTGTATATAGTAGAAATTTCATACACAAATTACTTTTTTTTAATAAAAAATTGTTATTCAACATTATATTGGACTATTAAAAGTAATATTAGTGTTTTAAATAATAATTAGTTGTCACAAAATTATTGTAGTTGAAAAAAAAAATAAGAGTATTTTGAATAATAACCAGTTGTTACGAAATTGTTGTAATTACATTGTAATCATTAATATTATAGAAAATCACGATTAAATGTGGCTGAATCAGTCTCACATATAATTGTATTGTAGTTTCATCAAATACTATTTTCTCGTAACTCAGATAGATTGCACTCAAAAACAAGTATTCAAAACCCTAACTACACTTACCCTTATATTATACATCATTGAAAAAGAATAATCAAACATAAATAGGCAAACAAATAACGTGGCAAATATATTACATTAGTTCCACAAGTTTGCTAGTCACTATCAGTATCCACAACATCAATCCTCCTACTTTCCAATTTAGAATTTTTAAGAAAAGGAACACCATCATTTTCTCCCACAACATCATTCCTACCTCCAAACACAAACCCTCTTTCACTTCTAACCAATAAGTGCAACACTTCCTTCATGGAAGGTCTACCAGAAGGAAGTGTAGAAGTACACATTATCCCAAGTTTGAAAATGCTACACATTTCATCCAAACAACTTGGTTCCACAAAATCTTTGTCTAACACATCTTCTATGTTGCTTCCTACAAGAACATGCCTCCATGACCATTCTACAAGTGATGAATGCTCATCACCATAGTTAGCTTCTTTACCGGTTGTTAGCTCCAATAGGATCACACCATAGCTAAACACATCAATCTTTTCATTGATTTTTGTTGTTTGAACATATTCTACAATTCAAACATCACAAAACAAACTTAGATGACCGACAGTGTAAAATATTTTTACGAATTCATGAAAAAAATGTTACCGAGAATATATTTGTTAGTAAGAAGAAAAAGCAAAAGAATTGGAATGTTGTTCATTTCACCTGGAGCCATATAACCAAATGATCCAATAACAGCTGACATGGTGTTGAATTCTTCCGGTTTCGTCAACGATCTAGCAAGACCGAAATCAGCAACTTTTGCATTGAATTGAGAATCCAGAAGTATGTTGCTTGTTTTTATATCGCGGTGAACAATCGGAGGCGAGCAATCGTGATGCATGTAGCACAAACCATGAGCAATTCCAATGGCTATTTGCATTCGCTTCGGCCAATCAAGGACAACATGTCGCGCGGAACCCAACTTATTTGATGACTTATTCTTGTTGTGTAGCCATTTGTCTAGGCTGCTGTGTTCCAAATACTCATACACAAGCATCATTGAATCCTCATTAGAGATGCAACACAACAACTTCACAATGTTTCGATGATGAATACTGCTCAATAGTTTAACTTCCGCGCGAAATGAAGTTTCGAGCTTTTGCCTTAACTTTCTGTTACACATGATTTTTTTCACAGCAACATAGGTTAAACTGTTAACAGGAACACGGTATACCGTGCCGAACCCACCGCTGCCGATGATATTTTGTTCTGTCATTGAGGAAAGTATGTCTAATTCTGTGAAACTTAGCCTTTGAAATGCAATGAGCTTCCATGAACTTTCCGATTCGTGTTTTCCTTTCTTGGAAAGTTTGATAATCATGAATGATGCAAACAAAGCCAACAAGAAAGTCACCAGAATGAGGCTAATAATCAAACCAATAGACCAATGTGAGGTTTTGGTTGGTTTTTCAAGGCCGAAATTGCAAAGGGTGAGACTGAGTTTTGGTGTATCAGCACATAAACCAGAATTGTTCAAAAAGCTTGTACCAAAAGCTGAGTTTTCAAAATCACTAGGAACTTTTCCTGTCAAATAATTCGATGATAGATTGAGATTTGTGATTCTAGAAGGTATAGAAGGTATTTCGCCCGAGAATTGATTTTCTGATAGATCGAGAACACTAAGCGAAGGTAAATGACCAATTGAACTTGGAATTTTACCAATAAGTTGATTTTGGCTCAAATTTAAAATCACTAGTGATTTCCATGATACTATATCATTTGGAAGTGACCCTTTAAGCTGATTTTGATCAAGCAACAATCTTTCAAGTTTAGGAAGTGCTGTTAGCTCTTGAGGAACACTTCCATTAAGATAATTCTTGCTAGCTGTGAACCTAACCACATTAGTCCAAGAAGCTACTCCAATTGGAATTCCACCATAAAACTGATTATAACTTATATCAAAAAGTGAAATATTTGAAGACAAATTTTGAGGAAGTTCACCACTGAACTTGTTATGGCTTACCATAAAAAACACCAAATTTCTAGCTCTCCAAAGACCATCAGGAATTTTACCATAAAACTCATTCTTGTAAACTTTCAGCTCAACCAAGGTACTACAATTCCCAAGTGATTTTGGTAACTCACCACTTAGATTATTTTCATAAACAGTCAAATTTTTTAGCATGCCATGATAGCACAAATTCTCTGGTAACCTTCCCTTAAAATTATTCATTGCAATATGAAAATATTCAAGCTTTGAAGAAAGACCAAAATTAATAGGAAGAGTACCTGAAAACTTGTTCATAAAAACATTAAACTCTGTCAAAGATTTAAGATGGCCTATGCTTTCTTGAATCTCTCCTGTAAAATTATTCGCGTGTAAGCGCAACACTGTTAACTTTTGAAGCTTTCCAAAATCGTCCGGTATTTTCCCTATGAGATTATTCTTTGCAAGATCAACTTGTGTCAAATTCAATGCTTCAACCAAACTTGGCAACTCACCAGAGAGACTATTTTGGTAAAGGTACAGTATGCTCAAATTCTTCAGCATGAACAAGCCACTAGGAATTTTTCCAGTTAAATTATTTCCTGATAAATCCAATTTCTCCAATGCAACCATATCTCCAATATTTTCAGGAATTTCCCCTACCAAATTTGAACTATACATGATAAAAAATTTCAATTTTTTCAACTTGGTTAAGCCTAATGGAAGCTTCAAAGGAGGGAGGAAAGAGTTATAGGACAAATCAAAGAACTCAAGGTTGAACAAGTTACCAATTACCTCAAAATGAAAAGTTTCATTAAACAAACAATATTGAAGATGAAGAAATCTCAAATCCTTAAGCTCTCCTATACTAGAAGGAATTTCGCCATCAAAATTGGTTGAACCAAGGTTGAGATATTGCAAATGAACCAAACTTTGAATATCATAAGGAATCTTGCCAACAAAGTTGTTCAAAGACAAATCAAGATACTCAAGATTGGAACATTTGAATAGATCTTTTGGAAACTCACCAGGAATCAAATTTTGGCTGAAATCAACATGTGTGAGGTTTTTAAGGTCACATATGAAAGAAGGTATTGTTTGAGCTATGGCGTGGTTTACCAAAGTCAACCCTGTGACAGAACCAGTGGTGCATGCTATCTCTGGCCAAGAACAATAAGAGGTGTTTGATGAGTTCCAATGAGTAAGAAAAGATGGATTTTGTAGGTGAAGCTTTATCTTCAATAAGATTGAATGTTCTTGTTGAGACTCAGAATTTGTAAGGCTCAAAAGTAGAAACAAGGTTACATGAAAATAAAGTGAAATTTTGATATAGGATGTGGATAATATTGTCATGTGAGTGCTTTTGATTTTTTTTTTCTAGTTTATTTATGGTTTTGATATTATGGAAAGGAGTTTGTTTGTATGGAAAGAAGAATGAAGTAGAAGAAGAAGAAGAATTGTCTTTTACTAATAATTGTTTACTTGGTTGGAAACTTGGACACTCTATTTTTTTCTCAATATAAGCATGAGGATAAGGGACTATAGTTTGTGATTGTTATTACAATTTACAATTCTTTATAATTGTGTTATTAGTTAAAAATCAATATTACTAAATTATGTGTCATAAGAAGATAATATTTACTTTCACTAACTATTTATGCTTCAGAAAAGTTAATCAATTATGAGAAATTAACACCCTTCAAATAATGTGACAAATAAGTTAATGACACCACTTTGTTTGTCATCATCAATTGCATGGAGTAAATTATAGAGCAAGTCAACAAGTCAAGTCCATTCTTTATAATGCAAAGACGTATACTATTGTCCATGTAAGACAGTTTAGAATGGACTCCAATTTAAAGTAGGGTGTATTCTTTAACATGTTATTTGGTGCATATATTCCTTAAACTCAAATCTCACTTTAATGCAAAACTCAGTGATAAATGTTTAAGTGATAAATGTCTTAATAAAAATCAGACACCAGGTTTTATGTCAATTCAACTACTTCATAGTTCATACACATCTAATACATCGCACACCTTTGTTGAAAATAGACCCCACCTTAGGAAGTTTGCACAATATTCTATTATATCAGTATCACATGAACTCATTATTGAGGTACCCGACGGTGGAAGACCTTGACGAATTCACATCTAGCTGACTAGATCAGTGCATTTTTAACCAAACTTCTTATTTGGAGTAATGAATAACTCTAATACAGACTTCTACTTTTGTAGTAATACAAAATATAATGATAACATAACTTGTGAGTCAAAGAATTCAGAATCATTTGCCTCCATCAACATAACATGAGTAGATCAAAGAATTCAGAGTCATTTGCCTTGGTGGCGGAGACAGGGGTGGTAAAGAAAGGCCATGATCATCTCATTATTCTTTTTTTAAGAAAAATATATATAATTGTCATTAGATATTACATGCTGAAAAATATGTTGATTAAATTTACACAACTGATTAATTAAAAATATTAGTAAATTGGAATGTACTTTCAATCCTAATTTCACTTTATAAGCTATCACTTAACTAATTATTATTATTATTCTTTACTATTAATAAATTAATTATTTAATTAATTATTGATATTCTTAATTAATTTAGATTATTTTTTAAGCAAAACTATTAGAAATAATAATAATAATAATTGTGTATTATATTTAAAATATATCTCAATGATTATTTATAAAATTAACATTAGTCTCAAATTCATCTAAATATTTGACAAGGACTTTAGACATAATTTTCATAAAAAACAAATAAAATAAATAAATATTTTGTGAATTATCATTTTAAAGATTCTTCGTAATTTTATCTTAAATTTGATTTAATATTTTACACAAATTTAAGACGAAATATAAAAAATAATAAAATAAACAACAATTTTAAATTATATCTAAAATTTATCTCAAAGTCTACATACACAATGAGATTTTTTCTAAAATCCGTCTTGATATTTTACACAAATTTGAGATCGAAGTATTTCTTTGATAGGTGGCGTATATAGTCAATTGGGTGGATAAAAGAGAGGTGGCGTTGGAGGAGTGTCATTCATATTTTATAAATTGGTAATATTATATGGTTTATGTTTCCAAAATGAAGTTTGGAATGTGAATAATATTGTTTGGAGTATTAAATCTTTAGTTTGAAAGTGGTTATTTTGCGGTAAGTTTACGCACTCCAATTGTAATTTCTACGAATTTAACAAGGATCCATTGTAATTTCTACGAATTTAACAAGGATTCTTTGTAATTTCTACGAATTTAACAAGGATCCTTTGTTCTTCTTATCGTAGTTTGTAATTGACTTATAATTTTCCAATTTTCTAATAATTTTCCAATTTTCTAAGAATTCAGAGTCATTTGTCTCCATCAACATAACATGTACATCACTTAACGCAATGGTAAAAGTCATGAGACCAATATCATGCAAATGTACGACTGCTACAAAATAGACCATCAACGGATTCGATTAAAATCCTTCTTTTGACCCGAACACAAAAGTCGTTTTACAACATATCAGAGGTGCATACACATTTTGAATATTTGAATGAAGATATGGGTCATTGTCTTATACGCCAATGGCCAACTAAATAAACACAGCAAAACACAACCTCTGCTGCCTTGCATACCAGGATCACAGCATTTCATGAAATCCCTACTACAACACCTTCTCTAACTACTCTCCCTTCGTCTTAAGATCATACATTTCAGATTCAACACCACTAAAGCAAACAACTAACTTTTAATTGTAAGGTAAGCAAAACCAACCATTGATCAGAAAAAAACTAAAGTTAATCGATAGTACAAATTACAGGTAGATGTATAACAAATCACGAGTTCGCTGAAATATCAACACTTAATGTAATCACTTCACTTGTGACTCGATTCATAAGAGACAAATCCTTATATTGCATACACAACATCCAAAGATCATGTTCGCAGCATTTTTTAGCAGCAAGAGATTATTCCATTTTTCTTGTGACACAAACCACCACAAATTCATTCAAGTAGCAAGAGATTATTTCATTATTCTTGTGACACAAACCACCACAAATTCATTCAAGTTTCAAATAACTGAAATTTCAATCAATTAAGCCCCAAATTAATTCAAGTAGCAAGAGATTATTCCATTATACTTGTGACACAAACTCATTCAAATATGAAATAACTGAAATTTCAATCAATTAAGGTCCAAACATAAGAATAAAGCATTTAACTTAAACACGCTGTAATTAAACAACCAATAATCTACTATACTTGCACTAATTATAACAACATTGAAAAAAAATCATTGTAATGAAAATCTACCACTACACTTGTTACACATTACTATTATTGTTGATTTCAAAACCAAAACTAACAAGATAATCACCAATTGAGGTTCAAAACAAACCCCTAATTTTCCAAATTCAATTTAAATTCCATAACATAACAAAAAATCACTACCTCAGAGGCCAAAACCAGACCCTAATTCACTTGTACTCGAAATTCGGCACAGGAGGAGCATCAAAACTCTCAAGAATCTTCACATCACTTCCTCCACTGGCATTCTTCTCTTCTTCCTTCGCACCGCCGAACATTCCACCGAACCATGACGACTTGTTCGAATCCAAATTCTCCGGCGTCTGCGGCGGCATCTCATCCATCATAATCGGCATAGGCTGCTGAGCACTAAGAAACTTGTTAAGCGCGATCCCCGCACCTTCAATAAGCGCAAGAAGAACACCGCCAAACGCCGCGGATCTAGCGGAAGCAGCTAAACCTTGACGCATAGAAAGAAAACCACCGGTGGCAGCACCGGCAACAATCGAATTCCATGGATCTTCTTTCTGACGAACGTAAACCATAGTACAATCAAAAGAGGAGAAAAGACCACCCCAAACGGCGAAACTACCGCCGATTCTCGGAGCGTTGAGACGAACGGCTTGTGTTGCGCCGATTAATCGATCGCCTTTGGGGGAATTGTAGAGACCTTTGAGGAAGTGGAAGGCGGAGCCGCCGACGGCGCCCATCCCGAAGGCTCCGCCAACGTCGTCGAGGATGCGATCTGGACAAGGTTCTCGTGAAGTTTCCGGTGTTCCCATTTTGATCAAAACGGTGTCGTTCGTCGATTAGGGTTTCGTTTTGAAAAGAGAAGAATGGCGTTTGTGTCTGGGGGGAGCTAGTAGTGCTGATGCTTATTGTTTATACATATTTAATTAATATATTAATAGTTGATATGTGAAAAAAATTATATTAGCTTGGAGAATAAGATGATGTTGATTTGGTTGGTAAAATCTATTGTACATGTTTAGTGTACCGGTGGTGCAAATAGGTTGGGCTGACTTAAGTTTTTGTTAAGTTTAAGTTTGATCTGTTAAAAAAATTGAAGTTTAAGTGTGGTATGTAGTCTGTCATATAGGTTTATTTTAAACTGAAGTTTAAATTTGACCTGTAATCTGTCGTAGGCTTATTTTTAGACCTAAGTCTAGCCTTTTCTAAAGTCTGATTAGTCTGTTAGTCTACATTAAAATCTGATTAGTCTGTTAGTCTACATTAAAGTCTGATTAGTCTGTTAGTCTACATTAAAGTCTATTATTTTATACATATATAAATAAGTAATTTAAATAATGTTTAAATATACTAACAAACTAAAAAGCCAATGAGATTAAAAGTTTGTTTGCATTGATTTATTTTAATTTACTAATTAGCATAAGTTCTGTGAGACTATTTGTTTAAAAGGACTTGTGAAAACAAGTTATAACATTGTTCATAAGGTGTTTTCATCTTATATTCATAAGTTCTCCAAGAAAACCAAATTTTATTTTTGTATTTTGATTCAAAGTATAAAATATAATATAATGATAATAAAAAATTATTCATAATTATTTATATAGGTCGGCCTGATAGACCTAAAAGATTTTTTTCATGGCCTGAGACCTAGTCTTTTTTAACTAAATAGACTTATAAAAAAGTCTAGACTTAGTCTTAGGTTAGACCGTAGTCTGAGCCTAGGGATAGAGATAGGTCAGGCCAATAGCAGGGGCTTACAGCCTAGCCTACATAGGTTCAGGTTACGACCTAGTCTACATAGGCTCAGGTAGGGGTGACAAACGGGGCATGCCCGCCCCGTTTAAGTCCGTTCCGCAAAAGTTCGCAAAAAAACGGGGCGGACATAGTTGAGGATGAGGGCCTAAAATCTAGGTCCTCTGCAAAAAAGTGAGTGCGGGGCAGGTTAAACTCGCGGGCACTACATATTTTAGGCCTAAAAATGCAGAATTTTTATACTAATAATCATGCCCGCAAAAGCACGCGAAGAAAACAGAGCGGGACAGGGCGGTCCACATTAGAGGGTGACGGGTAAAATGGGCATGTCCAACGGCTAGACCTAGACTTTTATGTAAGCCTATTTAGTTAAAAGGGTTAGGCTTCAGGCCATGAAAAAAAAATCTTTTAGTCCTAACAGGTCGGCCTATATAATCAAATATGAATAATTTTTTTTATTATCATTATGTTATGTTTCGTACTTTTAATCAAAATATATAAATAAAACTTGGTTATCTTGGAGAATTTATTAAAATTAAATGAAAACACCTTATGAACAATGTTATAAACTACAAATCCGCTTAAATAAAATAGTCTCACAAAATTTATGCTAATTCGTAAATTAAAATAAATCAATGCAAATAAACTTTTATTCTCATTGGTTTTTTAGTTTATTAGTCTATTTAAATATTATTTAAAATTTCTTATTTATAAAATAATAAGCTTTTATGTAGGTTAACAGGCTAATCAGACTTTAGAAAAGGCGAGACTCAGGCATAAAAAATAAGCTTATGACAGGACTACAGGTCAAACTTAGACTTCAATTTTTTTTTGACAGACTAGACTCAAACTTGACAAAACCTAGCTCGGCCCAACTTATTTTCATCTCTATTTGAACCTATGTAGACTAAATTGTAGGCCATGTTATCGGTCTGGTCGATTTCCACTCTGATACTCATATTCCATATCGATTTTGAAATCTAATTTATCTAAATAAATATTTAAAAAATATAAATAAAAAATAGATTAATTGATATATTTTGTCATTGTACAATACATCACATCCATTCATATTTAATATTTTAAATACAACTAAAATAAAAATCAAATGATTATGAAAATTTAATAATCATAAATTCACAATCACTCATATTTAGTATTTTAAATATGATAAAAATAAAATTTAAACAATTATAAAAATCTAATAATCATAAACAAATGATAGTATAGAATTTTTTATAATGTCAAAGGTATTTATTAAACAGTAGATCTTTTAGATTTAATGTCAATTATGCTCTAATCTCGTATCGTCGCTGAAGTACATTATGAAATTGCACAAAGAGTTAAGTAAACATTACAAAGAATTTCAAGTCATTATAGTTATTCTTGAATTAGATGAATTATTCGAAAAAGAATCGTTTAACCGTAACAAGACCACGAAAAAATTGATATGAACTATCCGTGTTAATTTTAAAAATTGGTCTTTAGTAAAGAGAAATGCAACAACTTAATAAAAAACTTATATTTCACTTTGAATTATATATAACTTACAATTATTAAAAATAAATAAATTATATATAAAATAGTTTAGGTAAAAATTTGACATATTTAAGGATTATTTTTTCATATTTTTAAAATTCGTTAGAATTCTTTTATTTGTAGAAAAAATCCATACAATTGAGACGAAAGAAAGGTAATGTCTTTAAACAACGTTTATGAATGTAAGGTAAGAAAGTGTTTGCAATTAATATAATCAAGATTTGATTATGGGTGTTACAGGGATATTAGAGAATAGCTGGGTTTAGGATTTTCACTTAAGAATATTTGTTGGGACAATTATGGACACTCTTGAAATTTTAGATACAGATGCTAAAAGTTTTGGTTGCACTGGCATATCACGATACCATGAATGACTTACGACTCACGATATAGATACAGAGATGATTCTTGTGTGAGTAGATGAAGTATAGTATAGTAGTGAGTTTATAGAGATAGTAGTAGATAGTGATGATATTAGTATAGTAGATATTATATATATATATATATAGTATTATATATATATATATTATAGTTAATATAGTAGTATATATATAGTAGATAGTATTATAGATATATGTATATAGTATATATATATTAAGAATATTATTAGTATTATATATATATATAGATATTATATATATATATATATAGTTATAATATACTACATATATATATATACATATATATATATATACACATACCATAATACTTACACTCACATATATACAAATATTCTTTTATATATATATAATATATATATATATATATTATATATATATATATATATAATATTATATATATAATATATATATATATATTATATATATATATATATATATCTATATATATATAATTATACTATTAGTATATATATATATTATATATATATATATAATATTATATATATATATATATTATAATATAATATCTATATATATATATTCAAAAAATACTAAATTATTTTAGTCAATATAATAGCATAATAAAATTGAAAATATAAGAAAAAAATAATATTAATATAAATATTGACATAGTAACACGAATAAAGTCAAACTAATTGAAAAAATTGTTAAATCTTATAAATAATTGTGTTTTGTTAAACTAACACAAATCAAATTGTTTTAAAAATATTTTAGACCTATTAATATAATATATATATATAATATATAATAATAATATATATATATATATAATATATATATATATAATATATATATATATATATACTATATAATATATATATATAATATATAGAGGTAGATGTTGTGAAAAGTTCTTTTCTGTTCTTTTGTTCAACTAACTAAATTTTAGATTTTTCAGGGTCAAATTTGTCTTCATACAATTGGTCCAAAAAATTAAATGAGTTCATAATAAACTGCTCTGATTTGCTGATTTGAAAAATTGTGTTTACATGTTCTCATAAAGCAAATTGTTTCATTTGAGAAACAAACTTTTCTGTTATCCTGCCTTGATAATCACAAAATGGTTTCTTTAAAATCTAAAAATTCTTTCGTTGCTTCTCATCTTCCTCTTTGCCTTCTCCTTTCACCTATAAATGGAGAAGCCCCTAGACTGTGATATCATCGTTCTCATCTGTGTAAGTCGATTTCTTTGAATATTTATCTGAATAATTCATGTCTTCAACATGTCTCGAATACGTTACAAACCTGTTATTGTTAACATTCATTTTGTTGTTATATTTTTGTAGGTTTTGTATGCTATTTGTTTTTTTCCTGCCATGACCCAGACCTTTTAAATTTGTGAAGGACATCAATGATATTGAAGAACTCTGGAAAATTGCATTAAAGGTTCACCATAAATGAAATATTATATCCCACACTAAACAACACTTTGAGATGATTGTAGTAGATGAATAGGTGATTTCACGATTCGCTCATAGTTTTTTATTGTATTTTAAAAGTTCATAACAACCCTATAGTTCATTGTAAATGAATGTTTATGCTGTATTGTAGGAGACTGATATCCATGTCGTTGTTCCTCCACTGTATAGCTAGATTTTTTATTCTAAGTTGGCTGTAGGGATGGCAATGGGTATCCATGAGCACGAATACTAGTCTCCCCGCTACCCCGCCCCATTTAATAAATATTATACTCATAATCTGCCCCATACTCCGTGCGGGTATCCGTGGATATTCAGATACCCACGGGTGTTTACGAATATCCATGGATACTATTATTTAAATATATTTTAAAAAAATATATTTAAATAACTAATTTTTT